AATGTTTATGAAATGTGTCATAAGAGTTTGTTTGAATTGAAGTGGGCATTGAACAATTAACTGATATCTGAATAAATGTTTTTGAATTTATATGTGCCGTCAATGGCTGTAATACTTCAAGAAAGGTTGTGTGGTTGAAACATTATTTAAGTTAAGATATTCGAAGATCTGAAATCCGTCGATTTTAGCAGTTTTCTGTTGCAGTTGTTTTTTTTGTTTCATTGTTTTTTTTTTCTTTTGATGCGCTGTTCGTGTTTCTTGGTTGTTGTTGCTGTTGCTGTTGTTGCTATTGTTGTTGTTGTTGTTGTTGTTGCTGTCATTGTTGATGCTTTTGTTGTTGTTGTTGTTGATGATGATGATGATGATGGTGTTGTTGCTATTGTTGTTGTTGTTGTTGTTGCCATTGTTGATGCTTTTGTTGTTGTTGTTGTTGATGATGATGATGATGGTGTTGATGCTTTTGTTGTTGTTGTTGTTGTTGTTGTTGTTGTTGATGATGATGATGATGATGGTGTTGATGCTTTTGTTGTTTTTGTTGTTGTTGCTGATGTTTTGAAAGATGATTTTTATCGCGGATTTGCGATTTCCTTACACCTCTTACAAAACCCAAATTTGGCAACTAAAAAAAGCAAAGTACGATTCATACTCACCGCATTAATTCCAGAAAGATCAACCACAACTCGAACGTAAAACTTCGCGCCATCGAAAGAAAACTTCAAACCATACTCTGCTGCAACAAACACTTCTGCTTTGATGAGATTCAAGAAGTTTCCTTGAACMAGCAATTCCATCTGAGTCATTGTTATATTAAGTCTGGTGTACACCGAAATAGAGAATATATCAATGTATCCCTCGATGTAAACCTACAAAAAAAAACAAAGTTTGGTCATAGTAATCTATGTGTATGCGCATTTTCATCTTAGTTCATTAGAGCACAAATATTTTGTTTTCACTCCACACTGCAAGTTCATGTGCTCTTTGAACTGATAAATGTAGTATTTCACTTTATTTCTCTGTTCTCTGATATAAACACGGTGGATTATATAGGGACAGCAGAAGCAAAGCAAGACAAGGGACAGTAGCGCAGTGAAAGATTTTTCTGAAACTTTTCTGTATTTTTTGAGCGCGCAAGCGACAAACCAWTTATCTTTTCTCTTATATAAACGCTGTCATCAGCCAATGAGATCGCGCGTTATATAAAATGACTTACATCCCARTAAATTGGATCTTTTCTGACGTCAATGAAAAACCATGGACCTTYTTTATCATTTGTTGGACTGCGGACAAGTTTAGCAATAGACGCAATCTTGATTGGGTCGGGTTGAAGATCAATTTTAAGTTTCTAAAAATAAAAGAATTAAACAATTGAAGATGAATTTGAGATGAGTAGCTTTAAACTAGTGCAAGCTAAGTGTCGGCGTGACTTCGGAACAACGTCGGTGAAATTAAACATAGGAGCTGCATCGATTAATATCGGAGATACGTCGTTTTTACATCGAAGCTGTGTCGGTTTGACTTCGGAGCGGCGTCGGTGTCACATCAGATGTGACTTCGGAACAATATCGGTGAAACATCGGAGTTGCATCGATACAAAAAATTAGCACTATTTAATATCTAAAGTTTTTATATTTGGTTCTACATTTGGATAATGGAACAAAAACTAAGCCACTTACATCCTCAGCTATAAAGATATCAGCAAATATGCTCCAGCCAAAGATGTTGACTCGTCCTTTGAGGGCGAATCCTTTGTAGATATAAGGACCCCCAGCTACTCTAAGATCGACGTCATCAGTTGAGTACGCTACCTGCATTATAAATAGAATAATTGAATAACAGACTCAGACGTCAAATTCTATATGTGCCAAATACAGTACATATTATTTTCATATAATTTTGAATATTTTTAAATAAAACTTCAATTTTTCAATTTTTTCAATTTTTTCAATTTTTCAATTTTTTCAATTTTTTGAATTTTTGAATTTTTGAATTTTTGAATTTTTGAATTTTTTTTTTTTTTTTCAATTTCAATTTTTTTTCAATTATTTTTTTTTTTGAATTTTTCAACATGGCTCGTGAATATTTCCTACCATTGCACCTTCAGGAAATCCAGTTTGATCAACAGGACCAGGAAGCTTGATTGTCYTGGATATCATACGACAGACTTTTCCAATTGTCAAAGCTGTTATATCAGCATAAATGAATTGTGGTTTACCCACACCGACATAMCCAGAACCGCCAAAACAGTGTCCCTGTCAAAAAGCGAAATGCTAATTCAATGGAGGAACCAAAAAAAGTTAGAAAGTATACATTTGGAAGTGATCTCTTTACTTTCTCCTACATTTTGTTCAGCTTTCACACAGTACTTACATCGACTTCAAAATCGGCTGGTATCAGACAGTCGTATCCAAACTCCACTCGCATCCCAAACTTTATACCTGTTATAGGCACGGGYGCCCCTACTTGATATGTCACCCTTTGAAAAGATATCATTAAGATGTTATTATCAATATCCCTGTARGCATTATTATTTCATATAATTATCTTTTGTATGTGATCGATGAGAAATTTATTCATATTTTTTTAATTCAGTCTCTTTCTAATTCACTCCTCTCTCAGTATGCCATCATTAGTGCGATAAAGGCTATTCCGCAGTCTCTTGCTCCGTCTTCGACAGTAATGGRCCGTATCTTTGTTAAAAGCCCTTGTGCATCCGAAAAMGTTTGTTATTGTATACTTTAATTCAAAAATGGTTTATTGCTSTCAGATTGGTTCAAAATCAAAGATGGCGAATTTTCATATATGAGAACATCGCGCAAAGKTTGCTGGGTGCACATGGTCCTTTAACCATATCAAAATAAAATAATAATGATCCTATTATTTACCCCAAAATTATGTTTCCAAGYGACAGCCATTTGATAAAGAAAGCTCGTCTCCACATCCCCCGGAAGTAAAGCTGTCCAGACACTTCATGTTGCTGGAAATTGTACTCAATCGAACCCCCCAAGATTAAATCATTTGATGGTGCCAGGATACCATCGCGGTATATCTTTCCGTTGACTGGGACTTTAATTTCCGCTTTAAACCCAAGTTTGATAGTCTTTGCGGTGCTATTCCAGTCGGCCTAAAACATAGACATAATCCATATAACTCGAATTGACTCGAACTCATATTGAGTGACTCTAACTCAAACATTGACTCGAATTAATCTCTAACTCTAACTCGAATATTTTGTTATACTACTCGTTCACTTACTATGACATAGAGTTCTAGTTTATGGAAGTAAAACCCTTCCCCAAGGTGAATATTAGCAAAACCAGCCCTAACAGTGACTTTTTTCCACTCTATAAGCCCATTGATGTATGCCTAAAAGAAAACATGTAACAATAAAAAATTGGAATTATTACAAGTTATCAGAACTTGAACTAGAGATTAGGCGACAACACAGAATTACTACGAGTTACAACTCGCTTTGTCAACAATACCGCGTCGATAGGAGTTACTATGCTTTAGCAACAGCACAAAGCTGCCACGAGTTACCTTAACTAAGTCCTTACTACAAATTTCTACGAGTTACTACGAGTTACTACGAGTTACTACGAGTTACTACGAGTTACTACGAGTTACTACGAGTTAATACGAGTTAATACGAGTTAATACGAGTTAATACGAGTTAATACGAGTTACAACTTCTTTTGGAAACAACACATGTCACACAATACCTTTGCAGTTGGTCCCACAATATTCTTACAAATCTCACAAAACTTATTGTTTTTGCAGTCCTTTGGTAGAACAAGTTGAGCACCAATGAATAGTCCTTGAGGTACGCTTARTAMAATTTGGCTCTTCAGTGGTTCCTTGGAGAAACCTGTCTCACTGTCAATCAGGACAGTTTGAGTCTTGGGAGGACTAAACGCCACGCCAATCTTTTAAAAAAAGTAAATTAAATGCAAGTGATTTGATGAATTAAAAATTACCCCATGGCATAATACTCCAGTTTCGAATTCCCTTTTGTGCAAGCTTAGCATCAATCAAGCATTCATTTTTATTGTCTTCTTTAGTACACAGAGTGTTTGCATTACAATAGGATCTCTGCTGAATGCTTTCGAGGTTAAAGGGACACTGTCAATGGCACGCATGCGCGAGTAAACTTGAAAACATTAGGCTAATGTTTTCAAGCTTATGACTCCAAGTTGCCGCGACATAAATCAGTTCGTAAACGTAAACAGATCTAGAATATTCCAAAGTGTGTCAAAAGCACCACAAAATGATTTTCCACGAAGGTCATACTTTCAAAGTCCGTTAGAGGCGAGACTGTCACTGCGCATGTCATCCATTGACAGTGTCCCTTTAAGSCTGCACAAATAAGTTCTCGAAACTGGAGTATTATATCACACCTAAACGTTAAGGATTACGATCGCCAGAGGGGAAAGATCAGAATGATATCTCAAACAATAACTGATTAATGGCATATATCAAAACTAGATAAACTAGTGAAATAATATAATTAATAGGCCAAATTTCCACTGTTTCTGAGCATTCATTCCCACCGCAAATGCTATGACGTCACTAACATGGGGCGAGTTCACGTCCCTCTATACTCTATTTCTCACCTCAAACTCGAGTCCAAGAGAGTTCAAGAAGTCGATGTTGATGTCAGACAACTTCTTTGCCAATGCACCAAAKGATTCGCGATCAAACGAGAAGCCGACAGCAAGTGCAACACGATTAAACTTAAGTCCTGTAAGAATTTCAGCGTGAACAGGCACTCCACCGGCATTGAAAGTTGAAGTAAATCGGAACGTGCCCCACTTRGCAAGCTTGTACGCAAAGGAAGCTGGTGATARGGTGAAATCCCARAGACCAGCTTTTCTAATGAATCACAACAAAATCATTAGTCTCTTCGCATCCGTGTTTAGCTTCAGTCACGCGTCACRCAAMCTTTYACGCAACATTTGTGTGGAKAGGTTGYGTRACGCGTGACCGAAACTAAACAAGGCTGCGAAGAGACTGCAAAATCTTTAGTGACAATGGAATCAATGGATAATTTGAAATACGCGGAAGACATGCCAATGAAAAAAACAAAGATGGAGTGGATTCACAATTCACAACTCCTACGTGAAATAAAAGAATTGAAAATGGCAACGAGAAAAATTATTAATGATGTATCTTCCCCCCCCCCCCCCCCCCCCCCCCCCCCTTTTAGGTAAGACTGATATTGCCACTGTGAAGTCATGTGAAACCCATAAATCCGTGAAAAGGTAGGGAACAATGAAACACGTGCATGCGAGTACAAAATCCTTTTTCTATTGGAGTTCTAGTGAAATTTTGATTGGTAGATTTATGCAATGATGTGTTTCATGAATATAATTTGAAATAACATATAACGACTGGTATCTTATGCAATGATGTGTTTCATGAATATAATTTGAAATAACATATAACGACTGGTATCATATGATGATAAATACAATTAACTTATGATATAGAACATGGAAAGATTTACTAAAAGTTTCACCTAAAACGTTAACATGACTTACTTCAGTCCGTTCTTAATTACATCTGGCACCATACTGGACGATACACCAAAAAAGTTGATTAAAGATGGAAATTTGATGCTTGCAGCAGTTCCTTTAGCATAAGCAGCGAGTGAATTCACGTCCTTGTAGATCTCCGTCTTAAAAATTGCATCTCCTACTTTGTAATCTCCCTTTGCTTTGAAAGTCTGTTTATTGCCCTCGGTGTAGTAAGTGAGCCTTGAAGAACAAGAAAAACATTGGTATAGATGTCTTCGTATTGTGCAAAAAATAAATGGTGTGATTGGCAGATGGTTCAATAGACAGATTGGTGGGCTGGCACAGTTGATTTATTCAATGGTGTTGGTATAGATGGATTTGACTTTTTCAAGATATATTGCTTGGTGAGCAGATGGATGATTGATTAATGATTTAAGCAATAAACAACACATTTTCGTGCGTTCCTGGTAAAATAAGCCATGCGGAATGTTGGGAGAACACTAAAAGTGGGCTTAAAAAATCTCGATCCGGAGGCAAGAGATTTTCAGCCTTTCGAGTGTTTTACCAATATCCCAAGTGGTTTATTTCACTATGAACGCACGAAAATGTGTTGTKTATTAAACCCACCTATTATTTGTCATTTTGATATGATTGTAAGGCACATATTCCTCTGAGGTCCCGATCTGGAATTCATATTTCTTCAGTTTATCCCAATAGTTTGACGCACCGGTATCCATCGTCATAGTAATACCTGTAACGAACTCGTACATGCCGGGTTTTTTCCACTCTGGCAGGGCTTTAGTTCTATTGTAGTATTTTGCCTGGTTGTTAACAACTTTGAGGATGTGAAGAGGGTCGATTATTTCAAAGCAAACCTAAGAAGAAGAATGTGAACCTCTTCGTTAGTGCACAAAATGTATAGAGATAAAATGTGATTATCAAAATCTAGCTAGTATGATATGTAGGAGTCACTAGTTAAGAAAGGCGTGCAAAATGAAAATCACAGAGAACTGGAGACTACTTATGTTTGAGGATATGTAGAGWRTTCTAACGTAGGAGTTGRGATCAAGTTGAAAATGCAACTGCCGCCATCTTGAATTCATACTTTGCAATTTCTGAGGCATCTATCGGGAATTTAATTCAAAGTGGAATACACTGCCTTGAAGAATAAAATTCAAAGTATCAAACTATATGTATGATATTCTAGAAAGCATACTAAACTGATTATGAAATTTCAAATGGATATATCTCTTGCAATTAAAGGCCTAGCATCACCACTGATGCTTTGCGCGCCTCTTCATAATTTCGTGTCATAATTTTGACGGCTAATTCAGACTATTGAGATGTCGATTAAARCTTTGCTGATGTTTCAATGAAGCAAGAAATAGAAATCACCATTCAAGCTTCAAAGCCTKTRTGGCTTAACCGACCAATCAGAAGCAARCACTTCTTTTCAAAGCAAGAACAAACGGTCGATCAAATCATCCAGGGCGATACTTGGCCTTTAAAGATGGCGGCAAAAATCTTTTGATAGATCAATCAGTAAATATCTACCTTAGTATACTTCTTTTTAGGGTCGATCTCGTCAGGTTCCATCTTAATACCAAACCATCCATTCTCAAGCTCTCTCCTCATGAAGGCAAATCGACTATAGACTTCAGGTGGGACCTTGCCGGCATGTGTTCCCTTCACTGAGTATTTCTCATCAGCCTCGCACTCTAACTTAAT